AACCGGCCTGGGGGCCGTAGGTTGCCGGCCCCTGCTCTAGAGTGCTGGGATTTGTAGTTTTGTGAGATAGTTAGCTTTCTCTGTCAGAGAGCTCTGGTGCCACAGCAAACAACAAATCCCAGGATTCCATAGGATGGATGGATGGATGGAGCCATGGCTGTTAAATCAGTATCAAACTGGATTATTTCTCCAGTGCAGATCTATGTAGCCTTCGTCCAGTGCAGAGTGCAGTTGCATTTTTCCCAAATTCCTGGCTGCAGGGAGCTTTCCAAGGCCGTCCAGCTGAATGCCGGTCCCACTTTGTTCTGCCTTCCAGGTCTTATCTTTCCTTTTTGAAAGCCCATTCCTGGCATGCCTCCAGTCGGTTCAGATAATAGCCAAATCCTGGCCTTAATGTCCATTCAGGGGACCTTGGAAGGAAGGAAGGAAGGAAGGCAGGAGAGGAGGCAGGAGAGACATAGGCCTACCAAACAGGGAAAGGCCAGGGAAGAGCAAATAGGGGATTAAACATTAGCTGGATGGAATTACACAGAGGTTTGTGGCAGGAAGGTCGGTCGGTCGGTCGGTCAGTCGGTGGGGTGTCCGGAGGCCTTCCCGGCACAACCGTCCGCTCAGAAAATGGAAATCAGCAAGTTGGAAAGGATCCCCCAAAGGTCATCTAGTCCAACCCCTTTTGGTGCAGCTCAAGCCTCTTTGAGGAGCGGTCATCCAGCCTTCCAAGAAAGGAAAAGGAGTGAGGTTTCGTGGTCATCCAACAACCTTTATGTAAAATCCTCCGACAAAAAGGGTCCTCCATAGGAGGAGAACAGAGTGAGGTTTCACGGTCATCCAACAAACTCTGCACAAAATCCTCCAGCAAAGAGAGATTTCAGATATTTAAAGATGGCTCTGTCGTGTTTTGATCAGGAAGTTTTACAAGAGCTCTCCGAGGCTGCAAACTCCGCTCTGCGGTTTGATGCCACTTTATAACAGCCCTGGCTCAATGCTATGGAATTCTGGGAACTGTAGTTTTGTGAGAGATTTATTTAGCCTTCTCTGTCAGACTATTGGTTGTGAGTACAAGAAATAAGAAAATGAGTAATAATATTTATTTATTTATTTATTTTCTCTTTCCTGGACAGTATTCAGGTTTTCAGCAAACAGCAGACAAGTGTTTCATTTGTGGACACCTCATAATGGAAATGGTAAGACCTCCTTTCTGAATTCTGTAATATAATAATAACAACAACAACAACAACAACAAAGTTTATTTATATCCTGCCCCTTTGAGATCAATCGGGGCGGCTAACAAGAATAAAATATACATACAATGTAAAAACTAATTTCCCCCCCCCTTAAAAATTATTAAATCAATTATAAATTAAAACATACAATAAAATACAACAAATATATATATATATATCCTCTTTCAGTTGAATCAAGCTGGCAGACTCACTTATGGGCCAAGAAATTCCCTTGCAAATTCCCAACAATATCCCAAGATATAAAACTGGTATAAAAATGTCCTATATTTTGACTGCTCTGGTGGCTGGTGCCTTTTTGGAGTAGTGAATCCGCTCTGGGTTCTAGTCCCAATTGCAAAGGAGTGATTCCAACATGCAAAATAAATGCAACCTGATGGAGAATTTAAAAACCCGGTGGGTTTCCATGGCTGGACTGGGATTCGAACCCTGGTCTCCAGAGTTGGAGTCTGAAGCTCAAACCACTACACTGGCTCCTGGAAAAATAATAATATAAAATGATGATGCATCATGTATTTTGTGCATTTTGGCTGGCCAATTAAAGGTATCCCTGTTTTGTGGATTTTGGACTTTGCTATATGGCCAACAAACGCGGCTACCCCTGAATATGTCTCCAAAATCAGAGGTAGCATCTTAATTTAGACCAGTTTATTTATTTTAATTTATTTCAAGAATTTATATCCTGTTTTTTTTCCCCTCCCACAATTGGGATTCAAGGCAGGTGACAATAATTTCAAAAGATAGAACTAAAACATTGATTACAAAATAATAATAATAATTTAAATATTACCAATGTTAAGACATATGTTAGAAACAGCATAGTTAAAACGGTTAAAAACCATTAAAATGTTAAGACACTCCACAAGAAAAAGTCACCCATATTTTAAAAATTGCAATTAATTTTAACACTTGCTAGAGAACCAACCCTGGGCTGTTTTGCTCTGCCTTAGGACTTTGTAGGAACTGAGCTTGGGAAAGTTGCTTTCTTGGGTGAAAATTCCCAGAATCCCCCAGCCGGCCAGTCATGATCCCAAAAAAGTAACTTTTCCAAGCTTGCCTTGAGTGTCCAGCTTCCTGAGTTCCTGCACTTTTCAGGAACAAGGGCACCCCCCAGTGGCAGAGTTGGAGTCTTGCAGTCTCCTTCTTTTCCAAATGGATCAATTCGAACTCGCATCCCAAGTAAAGAAAGTTACAGAAGATGGAAGTTCCTTCTCTGGGGTGGTGCTTCAGAAAAGACGTGTAAAATATTGGTACAAAGACAAAGCAGAAAAATGTTGAACGTTTTGCTAGGTTGTTAGGTTCATATTTTAGGATTGCATCCATCCTGTTACTTCCCTAAACCTAAAGATGGGTCTTTAAAACTGTTTTAAAATAAAAATATGCTGTTTGAATTTAAAAGAGTATTAAAGACCTGTCTCTCCTGTTAGACCTACCCAGTTGATTTTAAATTTAAATTGGAATATTTTTAAAATTTTATGTTAGAGAATTTTAATGCATCCTATATTGGGTGTTTGTTTTAATGTGTCCTATATTGTAGGTTTAAATGGTTTAATGTGAAGATAAAAGAGGAGGGGAACATGAAGGAAATATCATTTGTCATAGATAATTTCGTGAAAAGTGTTAATTTACTTTTGCAATAGAGTAATAAGATAGATGATAACCAGCTTAAAAATGGCATAGAAAGAATGTGGGATTGCAAAGAGATACCTGTATTGAAGAACCAAATAAATGGAAGTGATCAGAGGTAGAGTATCAATGGATAGTAATGATTGCGATGAGCAGAAAAAGTGTTTTTATTGGGAAAAAAGATCAATAAATATATATGCCCCCAAAAAATTGGTTTGATGTGTTTTAATTTATGTTGAACCCTGCCTTGAGC